TTGCAGAAGTATTATTAAGGTTTCCAATGTTGGAAAAAAAACCCATTGATACAAGTATATAAGAGAGGCTTATACCATAGGCTTATTTACTCCTGCAAGCAAATGCACATGTTCTTAAAAAGTTAAAAACCTATGGCAATCTTTCCCTGAGTTGCATTAGGTTTAATATAGTTGACCATAAAAAGATGTTTTCGTGTGTTACAAAATATATGTCTAAAGTATTCTGTTTCTATTATTAACTTTCAGTTGATTGGTGTGCTTATATCCTTGTGTGTCTAAAGGTGAGGGAAGGGTAGGAAAATGATAGTATGTACATCATGGTATGATGCAAACCGCCTTACTTGCCTTACTGTTTCTGTCTTCCAGTGGGGTGCAAGTACAAAACGATCTATGTATTGTGAAAAGATTTCATAATTTTCATTATTGTAATTTTTACTGGATGCCTAGGTTTATTTTTCTACCTTCCTGAATGTCTCTCAAGAGATATCCCCTGATAGATTGCTCAGCCATCTTATTCTTTGGCATGTTAGTTACCGTATAAGAATGGATCCTGGTCTGTATTCAGGATGTAACACCATTACTTCTCCCTGAAGGAAAAATGACATAGATAGAAATCAATACTACTTTTAGCTAATAATATAATTAACCTGCGCACAGCAGTCATTTGTAATAAATGCTATGACAGGAAAGGGTCAGAAACGCTTCGGTGAGCAAAGACAGCCATTCCTGACCATCAGTTCTTGTTTTCTCACCCTGATCTCCCATTGTCCAAAGAACAGCCGGCATCTGCTATCTCAGGCGTCAAGCTAGGGAATTTTTGCTTTGTGGGAAGCTGGAGACATAATATGACATCTAGAGAAAGGGAGTATAACATGTGAATTTTAGAGCGGGGTAGGCAAGTTCCAAACATAAACAAAATGTCACTGAAGAATCCTTGGCTCCTGGCTCCACAAATCTGAGAAAGGAACCCAGTTTTATAGATAACATCATTCTTCTTCTCCAACCCATCCCCCAAGCACTTTAAATTTGCAATGTTAAAATTATAGTGAAAAAGTCTTTGTGTCAGAGTTTCAACTATGGCAATGCAATCTCCTCCCTCTTTTTAAAACTCAGCCAGAATTTAGGACTAGCTATAGTAAAGTCAAAGATAAAGCTCAGATAGATACTTTAGTTTTATTGCAGTCTTATGAAGCCCTAATCACAAACAAGATTAGCTCCTGCAGAATCTCATAATCCAGCCCACTATAAAAGTAACAGAACCAAAAATTACTCTTAATACCTTTTTCTCCTCCTCTTATGTGATAATGGATGTCTTAACCATTCATCTCTGAGTGTTCTATGTGGAGGGCATCTGGACCATATTTTTACATGACCACGCCATTAGTAAGAAGGAAGGGGCTGGTTTCTTTATTTGTTCATAGGCTTGATTTATTATCTTGATCCCAAGACAGTTTACATGAAGATCTCCATTTATTTCTTCCCACAACTACTTTGTGAGTAGATTATGAAGAAGTAATGGGTTCAAAGTCACCCAATATTTTTTCATGACTGAGGTAGTCTTCAAACTGTGACTTCTGGATTCTAGTCTGGCAACTTATCCATTGTTCCATAATTCCTTTTTATGTGACAGAGGTCATGTTCCATTCTGTTTTTAGTTCATTTTGGGCTGGATACACTTTTCAAGAAGAAAGCTACACAAGAACCAGAAGCTGATTGGTCGATTAAAGAGTGTCACTTATGGAGCTAAGAATTATCCCACACATGAAATGACCACATTAAAGTCAGAGGTGGGTGGGTGTTCTTCAGTGAGCTCTAATAACTTCAGTGCTTTTTTATAAGAGCATAAGAGTACTTTATCCACACTAGCTCTACTTTTATCCCATGTATTTCACACTGCAAATATTAAAAAAGGGCTTGATTGGCATGAAGACCAATTCAATTTTTCCATTCACCTGAATTGCCAAGAAATTAATCCTGAGAAATAATGGACTTTTGACACTTAGGTTCAGTGATGGCATTACTGATCTGGATTTTTTCTTATACCATGTCTTTCTGATGCCTTTATTTTTTTTCTCAAACCCTATTAGTGAGACAAGCTTACATCAACTACAGCTGTCCCAATATCATATTCCCTGTTAAGCCAAGAGCATCCTGTAGCTACAAGGTGTGTAAAATCTATGTTGGAGGCCAAGTGAAATGACCAGTAGTGGATGGGTTCAGAAGATGCTTACTGGCTATTTCAGGCTGATGTGATCATGACTCTTCCCCTCCAGTTTCTGAACCAAAATTTTGCTACAGCAATACTGTCAAGGTTCCAAGTAACACCCCTAATGAAAGAAGACTTCAAGGCTTGAGATTCCTCAAAGTTCCATTTTATTAGAGATGTCATATTGGCACATCTGGGAAAACCTGAATCTGAAAGCTTCCAGGTTTTTGCCACCCAAATGAAAGTTCAAGTCCCTGCCCAGCTCCCACATGTCCATCACATGGTCCAATTAGGCACCACCCAAAACTGGAGATGCCTCCCAGTCATACCATCACAGCTGCAGGACAAGGTGTCCTTGACTCTTGAGAAAGGAATGTTACTTAGACTATATATCTCCCATACTCCCTCCCAATTTCCCACAGCACTTATCGTGGCCGCTCTGAAGGCCCAATGCTTCCAGGCCTGACAGGCCTGATGGCTTCCAGGCCTGACAAATACTATAAATACTTTAAATCTGTGTCTTCACAATTTCGCTCAGTGATGAAATGGTATAAAACTGGAATGATAGAACCAAGTCTCCCCCATTGCCTCCTAAACAGAACACAGAGGAATGGGGGCAGCTGGAATGTGTTGCCTATATAGAAAAAACAAACCCTAAATAAAAGGGTTGCTTATAACTCAGCTCACTTGGTGACTTCAGACTGAATTTTTAAAACAGTTTATTGAACATTTGTTTATTTATCAAATGTATATGGTCACCCTTCTCAGAAGAAGTGACTCTGGGTGGCATGCAAAATCATATAAAGAGCTATATGAAACATCATTACAAAAATACATTAAAGATTTAAATATTAAAAATTAAAATATACAGACCTCAAGGCACAAAGAGAGTGAAAATATTAACCACAATATTAGAGCTATCTTAAAATGTTGCCAATTCCCTGGGACGCCCAAGCCTATTGTCAGACCTGAAAGCCATCTTTTATCTTTGGGACTTCAGGCCTGCCACATTTTCTACTGTGGGAATATGGGAGGGGGGATTATACAGAGTGTGGGATATATAGCCATAACAACATTCTTTCTCAGAAAGTCAAGGTCATCTGGCTCTGCAGCTGTGATGAGGTGACTGGGAGGCATCTCCTGTTTTGGATGGTGCCTGATTGGATCATGTGATGGACATGTGGGTTCTGGGCAGAGACTTGATCTTTCTTTTGGGTGGGGAAAACCTGGACACTTTCAGATTCAGATTTTCCAGATGTGCCAATATAACATCTCTAATAAAATGAAACTTTGAGGAAACTCAAGCCTCAGAGTCTTCTTTTGTTGTGGGTGTTACTTGGTTCTCCTGCACACTGCTTAGAGAGTCCAAGAATGGGCATTATCACAGTCTGCTTGCCCTGGACTGAGAAGTCTTTTCCCTGGCCACGCCTCCTTGCGTGGCCACGTCTCTCCAGAAAAAATTCTCAGTCCAGGGCAAGCAGACTGTGATAATGCCCATACTTGGACTCTCCAAGCAGTGTGCAGGAGAACCAAGTAACACCCACAACAAAAGAAGACTCTGAGGCTTGAGTTTCCTCAAAGTTTCATTTTATTAGAGATGTT